CCCAAACTATTACTGGATTAACCTGTCCATCATTATTCTCTTCTATATAAGTTTTTATCTCATGGGAAATTTCAGCTTTAATTGTTTTGTAGTTCAATAGGCCTACATTTAATCGCCATGCTGTTTTACATTTTCTGGAAGGTAAATTAAATTTTAATATTAGAGAAGAGTGGTCAGATATCATTGTTTCTTCTATTTTACATTCCTTTACTTTATTTAAATCTGCTTTTTTCATGAAAAGGTAATCAATTCTGGAGTAACATTTATTGGGCGCTGAGTAGTGGGTATAATCTTTTATATTGGGGTTAAATTCCCTCCAGTCATCAACAACTCCAAATTCTTCAAATACTCATTTAAATTTTTTTGTGGATGAGATTTGCTGTTTTTTTTATAGTTAGTTGAATCAAGCTTCGTGTTCAATACCATATTGAAATCCCCAAACCAGATCATTATTCCCTCTGTTTCTGTAATTATTTTTACTGAGAAGATTATTAAGAAATTGTATGTTGGCGCTTGTAGACATTGACTAGTGTTACCTTTACTTTTTCAAGAGTCCCCTTCACAATCACATATCGGCCTTCTTTGTCTGACAAGTCATGGCTGCAGTCAAATTTTACTGAGTTGTAAATTAGAATTGAAACTCCTCTTTTACGTCCATGTCGGAATTAACTATATAATGTATTGGAGTAGCCAAAGCCCCTAAGCTTTTCATGTTCCTGTTTAGACAGGTGTGTTTCCTGTAAATAAATTATCTGTGCTTAAATTTTCTTGCATTTTATAGGATTGTTCATACCATTCAGGTTCAAAGAAACGATCTTGATGTCATCAACCATTATTTAGATTAGAAAAGATACCATGTGAAATAAAACAAACAAAAAAAAAAAAAAAAAATAAAAAAAAAAAAAAAAAAAAAAAACAACAACAAATAACTGAACAAGTTGTTAGAACATAAATGAACAAATAGAACAGAAACTTCAAAGGGTAGGGATGTGTGGGGACATCTCTGATGGTCCCTGTTGGTGGGCAGAGGGCAGAATGCCACACTAAGGTGGGTGCCCTCTCTAGTAGTAGCCTGAGATCTACTTGTACTAGATAAGTCCAACATTTGGTGAATGTTACAACATTTATTCCATTCGGCAATTGAATAATTATTTATCAAAATACCCATAGCATATAGTTTTGGTAACAAATTGGAGATTGATATCCAGAACTGGTTTAAATCAGGCTGGAAATGTCAGTAAATTCTTGTAGTTGTACTAACCTCTTCCTGTGATTCAATGTTTAGAGTCACTGGTCCTCACATCTGAACTCTATTAGCTTCTCCCTGGCCCGTTGACCTGTCTCTGTGTTATTGATCTGTTTCCATGGCAATGGCGTGTCCAGCCTCTCTCATTTAAGCTTTTATCTGCTGCTTGCTGGTTTCATCGCAGAATGGTGAACCAAGAGTAAACATAGTGAGTTCTGTATTCTTTATTCCTTATGTGGACCTAGCGTCCCTAGGTCCACATAAGCGTATATTTTTAATTACAGTAAGTAGTTGTGGGTTTTTTTCTGCTGGCAACAAAATCCTGCTGCATCCTTTGGCTGCTACTGCAGGCAATGATCCCAATAATTTTTGACCTACACTGTAAAAACAGATTGGTCAGTCCAGCCAAAACTGGTTTAGTTTGCCAAATTTTTGTCCAACCAATGTTTTGGTCAAAACAGCCACTATAATATGGTAGATTTTTTTTTTTTACCAATCTATAATTCATCCAATGCCATATTTGCCATGAGGTAAAACAGTATTACACACTGTACTTGACAACAGCCAAACTGTAACATTGGTAAAACATAATACGTAATTTCCCTCTGGCATTATTAAAGTATGTCTGATTCTGATTTATCATTTTTATTGTTTGTTTGGTTAAACAAATAAATAGGCTGATCCAAAACCATTAGCTTGGTATGTTTCTGACCAATATATTGGTTAATCTAACCAAAATAGGTTTAACTAATTAGATTGGTTGGTTTTTCCAACAATCCATTTTTAGAGTGTTATCAGCCGACTATTGTGGCTGATTCTGTACTACAGCATGAGCCAAAGTATGTATGCAACAATAACAAAATTTTGCTTCATAATTTCTTTGTGCAAATTGGCTGCAGCTATTAGTATTATTCTGGTTTCTTTCAAATCTGTAATCCATTACCCATCAATCCATCTGCTTATCCAAAATCCAAAATTTTGGAGACATTCCTCTTCCTGGCTACAGTCTCCAGCTCATTCTTGTTAATTTCAAGGGTCAGTCCAAATGAGACTTATAATCCTTTCAGTGAGTTCAAAACATCAAAGGGGAGGTGCCTGGTAGCTCTGCTTTGGTACCCCCCAGGAAATACTCCAGAGACCCATTTTGTCCATATGTCTGGAATCTCACTAACTTGGACGCCATTCTTTCCAATCAAACCCATCCAGCTAACATGTTGCCACCAGGAGAATGAAGTCCCCTGAGGTCATAGCAGAAACCCCATGGGGTCCCCATTCCAGTACATCAATCAGAGGACCTGGATAATGTAAGCTGCTATTTGGTTTGTGAGAAAAGACAGCAGTCAGACCTCTTTTGCAGCCTTAAGGAACAAAAAAGGGACTCTTGCCATTCACTGGGCAGTACTTCTTAATAAACCTCTACTGCTGGGGTCTTATGACAATCCCCACACTGCTCCCCTTATCCATTAACCTCCTGTTTTAGTCAGCCACTTCCTTTCTTTCGAATCTTTGGATTGCTTCTTAGTCTGGCCCCTTCCCTTTAGCAGATTTTTCATGGAGATCCTACCAGGGGCTGTAGCTGAAGACAAAGTTGCCCTTGGGATCATAGAGACAAACTCTCACGGTCTTACTTTCTGTTTTACTTAGATCTGTGTGTTTCATTGGCTTATTTCCTACTTTGTGTTTAGATTTATTTTAGTTCTCAGGTTGTTCTGTTGTTATTGCAGGCATCCGCAAAGTCGGTTCTCAAGGACCATTGTCCTGCAGGTTTTAGAGGTTTCCCTGCTTCAGCACAGCTGATTATAATGATTGCAGTAGACCAAAAACCTGTTAATCAGCTTTCAATTAAAATCAGTTGTGCTGGAGCAAAGAAACATTTAAAACCTGCAGGACAGCGAGCCTTGAGGACTGAGGTTGGGGATGCCTGTTCTATTGCCCTCTTGTGTGTGTTCCTTTCCCCTTGGCTTCCTCATTGTCTCCACTCACACCTGCTCCTTATCAGCTCGTTAGCCCTGCCTTTGTTTCAGTCAGCCATATATACTCTCCCTCTGCTATCACTCCTTGCTGGTTCCTTGACGTCGCTGGTTTCTCATTGCTGCTGTCTTCCTACATTGTCTCTCCCTGGCTCCTTGTGTCCGGTTTCCCCTGATGTCTCCATGGTCCCAGTTTGTTTTACATTTTATGTTGGATTTTTGGATAGCTGCCTTTGTTCACTGTTTTTCACCACTTAAATTGCAAGAAGTCACCTCAGCCTCTCTGCCTCTGCATTTGGGTCCTCAAACCTCAACTAAACTCTGACACAAACAAACCCCTTTGGCATTAAGGTGGAGACTTAAGTCTGTTTCTTTTCCCTCAAAAGTTAGCTTTAATGAAATGTGACTCATTATGAATCTTTGACAGAAACCAAATAGCTATCTGTGAATTTCTTATTGTTTAATTGGAGTAAAAAATAGATAAACAATGATTAGATATATCGTTTCTGTAAATCATCAGTTATCAAAGGTACAAAACAGTTGTCTGAAGTTAAAAGACTACACACTTGGGGGTTGTCCCTTTATATCCTTAGTTTGTACCAACTCATTATTATTAATCTCTAACAACCACTGTGCAGCTATATTATAGTTTTTTATTTATTGACTGTGCAATATTCTGTGCAATATGCTGAATGTGCAATATATGTGAATAGAATAGTCATACCACTACCTCACCATTGCTCCTTACCTACTACACTTTAACGTAAAAGTAAATCCACCTGTATATAAGACATCTGGATTGTACATATTTTTATTTTTTATTTCCTATTTCTTTTTTTCTTATTTTTATTTTGTTTTTCATTGTGTGCGATACATGTACATTTGCACCTTATCCTTATTTATCTTGATATACTGTATATACTTGGATATACTGTATATATATTGTTTATTGTTTATTTTTAATGCACCTTTTTCGTCCTTGTTTGTACCTTCTTTGACTTCTATGCCAATATGTGACGAGTGAATTTCTCCGCTGTGAGATCAATAAAGCTCATCTAATCTAATCTAATCTAATCTAATCTAATCTACTACTTTCATTTATACACACAAGTGAACCCTTTCATACCCATGGATAAGGTCCAGATTTTTTAATTTTGCTTTTTGTTGTAGTTTTGGAATTTAATGAGTAATGGAGAACGTTGGTCATATAAATATAAACAAATCAATTTAAGTTCTTATGACCATCATTGTTGGGTTTTTCTTCTTTGGTCTAGCCATGCAGTGTGGTTCAATCTTGACTTGTCATGATAATTAATCTTTGTATCAAATAATTAAGGTTAAGACCGTTAGAATTAAAATTTTTCCTCTGTCTGGCTTCATATAGATTTTTCGCATTATTTGAAAATACTCTACACCTTAGTACTTTCTACTTTGATAAACCAATGACACCTTTGCATGCTATTGACGCATATTCATGTATTTTTTTTAGTTGAACTAAGAGAAAACTTATTACTAAAGAGATGCATGTCCAAGGTTTACAAAAGCCTATCCCTCAAAAAGTTACAGTCAAAGGTTAAAGTAAAGATAAATAGTTTCTATATGTTCTTTCTTAACTGTTTCTGTCAGTAGTGATTATCTCTTCCGCATGATTCAGCTGAAGAAAAAAAAAACAGGTCCAACATTTCAGTTCTGCCTTAATAATAGTATTTTTTTGTTGCTATTTCTTTTAGTGTATGATGACACAGACAACGAAGGTGATTATGATTTTTCTATAAATCACAATTTTTGAATAGTTACTGTTTGTTTCTTTTGTTGCATGACTTCTTTTTAAGAACAATTATTAGTATACTCTGTATTGTTCAGTATTGTTATGACTGTCATTTGTTTGCAGGCTTGATTGCTGGTATTGTGTGTGGCGTAATAGTGGTGGCTGCTATAATTTTAGTAATACTTTTTCGAAGGAAAATCTTCAACATTCAAGGTGAGGGAGACTTTGTTAAAACACTCATGAAGAGGATACTCTATAGAAACACAATTATTAACTTTTCCAAATTCTGCAATTTATGAAAAGTGACCATGAAAATATTTGCAAATACTTAACACCTGGTAAAACAAAGTTAACCTTTGGTTACATTTAACAGCTTCTGCAGCGGAAGAAACAGAGCGAAAGACAACTGTTGTTCAAAACATTGAGGTCTGTATGTCTGTCCTATAAACCTGGGAAAACAACAGAAGCATATATCCTATCATTGCTCTAATTTCTTCAAATTGTTGTTCAATTCTCCAGAGAAATGATGGAAATCACCAACCTGAAGAGATGGAGATACAGAACAAGCAATCAAACACAGCCTTTCCTCTTTATTCTACAGTAAACCCACCAGCAGAACAGCTGCATTATGCCAGCGTCAATATCCATAACAACACTTCCACTGAAAATACAATTGGATCATCCACATCAAATGAGAGTGTTAAAGGTGCAGCACAAACTCCAGCGGACACAACTCTGTACTCTACCATTGCGAAGCTTGGAGAATAGTGCAGTCAAGTTGCAGGGCTCCCCCAAGCATAAGTAAAAGGTGTATGAAGAAGTCTTTACTTGTCATTGTTCCTCAAGGGTACAACAAAAATTTTAGCAGCTCAAAACAAAATAAAACAATATAAAACAAAACAACGAAGGCAAATAGTGTAATAAAAAGAAAATAAATATTTTTAAAAAGTTGTAAAAGATGTGTGTGTATAGATAGAAGAAAAATATGTACACACAAGTATATTTACACAGAGATTGCAGTATTGCACAAGAGAATTTTGCACTTATATTATAAACAGTGCTTTTTTAGGATAAATATACATTTGATCATGTGTTAATCATTACTAACACAAATTATAAAAAGATTTTTTTGGCATTGGGGGCCAGCTTAATGCACAAACAAGAAAGAGAAGTTTAAACTCATCAGAGACATGATAGTATCTCTGATGAGTTGATAGTGATAGCCTTATACTGTCTACAGAGACAGAAAACCTTCCAGGACTCCCTGAAGCACAGAGGAACCAATTTGAACAGATGTTTTAAACTGTAAAAAAAAATAAATAAAAAAATTATGAGTTTTACATAAGTCTTTGGATAGCTCTTCCCATAGCCTGCATTCCTCCTGTGCCTGTTGCATCTTCAAAGTGCAGCTTGTCCAAGGCTTATATTAATACGTGTTTTGAGTTCTTCAGAAGAAAGACTGAGAGGACCGGCAATAGTTTGCCATAAGATTTGTCATCATTTTTATCAAAAAACCAATAAGAGTGAGAGGAGAGACATAATGAGGTTTAATGTGTTGGGAAAGAGGATTTATTTCTTTCTAGCTTTGACATGTAACATTATTTAGTTTTAAGGACTAATTATTCAGTAATTCATTTAAAATTTTGTCTCCTTTGCCTTTTTGCCTGTTTCAGGTACTTTTATACTATCAGCATTGTAGTATGCGTTTCAAATTCTATTGTTCATTGTATGTTAAGGTTTTGGTAAAATATATATTTTCATTTATCTAAGCTATTTTGGTTTTGTTTGGCTTTTGCACATAGCTGTTGCATTTTTTAGCACCAAAAACTATGAACTTAATGGCAACTTTGTTCTAAACAGATTGCATACTACTTCATTTTACTATACTCTATAGCAGGGGTATTCAGTTAAACTCACTGAGGTCCAGTTATAATTTTGCAAATAACAGATAGAAATGTAACTATCTTTTGTCTTTTATACTCGTGCCAACTCATTTGTTCGAGTTTTTATCAGTTTACTAAACTATAATGTAGGTTAAAATGTATTTTCTGGAACTTGTCAACAAATATGGTTTACCTAAATCCCATTTTTTTTTTTTATATTTACAAACCAGAAACTTTATTCAGTCTCACTTGTCAGGCTCAATCTCTCTGCCAGAGCATACACTGTTGGAAGCCATCCTATTATTAAACCCAACTCGTAAAGGGCTGGTTTCATGGCTTTATAATAAAATGTTTACTATAAAAGAGACCTCCACACTTAAACTTAAAGCCTCATGGTACGAGGACTTGAATATGACCATACCGCGTCAGACATGGGACTCTATACTTAAACTGGTGAATACATCATCTCTGTGTGCGCGCCATTGCCTCGTTCAGTTAAAATAGTACATAGAGCCCACCTCTCCAAAGACAAACTATGCCGTTTCTATCACCCCTTACTGCGATAAATGCAAGACTGCCATAGCCACACTGGTCCATATGTACTGGTCCTGCCCCGCTCTTGGTCATTTCTCAACAGATGTTTTCCGTACAATGTCCTAGTTGGCGCGAGTGGTGATAACACCTGGCCTTCTCCTGGCTCTGTTTGGTTTTAGTGGTGAGGGGTCACCTTTACCAGCCTCTAAACAATAGGCACTGGCATTCTGCTCACTGTTAGCGAGACGCACAGTTCGGATCAGGTGGAAGGGCACAGCTCCTCCAACTCGCAAGCAGTGGTTATGTGACCTCATGTCATGTCTGAAACTGCAAAAAATGAGGTATTCTATTCAACATTCAACTGGTAAATTGGTAAATGTTCCGCAATAAAAGGGTTTATTAGATTTAATAAAATGTGTTCTGTCTCAGTCAGGGATAGGAAAGTAGTGCGTTGACCTCTTGATAGTGACCTAGGTGGGCTAAATGTGATTTTTTTTTTCTTTTTTTTTGTAGGGATTGTTTTTTCTGTATATTATATTATATCTATATTTGCTGGATAAATATATTTTTTGTATTTACATATTACATATTTATATACAAAGGAAAGACAGTGATAAAAAAAAATGTATTTTCTGAGAATAAATAATTGTACATCATTTCTGTTTTATCTCTTTTCTGTTCCTGATCTGTTCTGGAAATTTGATCCTACCCTACTTCCAGCAGCTAACTGTTTGGCTTGGGATTTTTACACAATTGTAGTAAAGTCGAGTTTCATGATTGGCTTTTGTTGTATTTTTATGGCACTGCATGAACTTAAGAAAGACACAGCTGAAATGCAAATAAACAGAGAACCAAATGAAGAAAATGTAAAATGCATTTCATTAAATATTTTAAATAAGATGTAGTTTAGCATTCTTTTTTTGGATTTATGGATTGAAATAAGCACTTTCAGTACTGTAATTACATTATTTATGCTGATCTGGATTAAAATCTGCCTGCACATATGCAAATGAGCTCATGGTAGAGATTGTGCTTTTGGTACAGATTGGGTAGTGACTGGCATTACCAGCAGCATCTGCAGACTCATTGATGGATAAAAAATAAGCATGGAGCACTTTGAATAGCTGCTTTCAGCTGGGCCATTATTAATCTAATAGTTCTGAGATTCGGGGTGCTGTTGAAACTGACACTAGTATTTTTTTTATAGATCGAGTATTTTTGTTTTGTATCCAATACGTTCTTGGCAGCAGCATATATGCTTACTAACATGTGGACATATTCAAAGGAACTTTGGACCCTGAAGTCAAATGAGACAAACAATGATTACTTAGAAGGCCTTTATTAAAAAAGCAGTGCGCAGCTGCTCGTTAGCTGAGGCGGTCTCACTGGAAACGCTGTCGGGATGGATCAGTGTCTTCTGAAACTCGAACAGGGAATGACAATGAACGTGAGAGTCACCAACCTAGCAAATTTCAGTCCAGAGGGATAATCCAAGCTGTGGTCAGAAAACAGGTCAAATGTTAGCAACAGTTGAAATCCACGTAACAGTCCAGAAACACAGAACAGGTAAAAACAGAGCAGAACAGGGGTGGCCAAAACTCAGAAGTCCAGGAGCAAAAACAGGTCAGGTTCAGGCAGAACGAATGCATACAGAAAACGCTAGAATTAAATTCGCTGGAAGCTCAAATAATTTGGTACCAATGGCTGGATGGCATATCCGGTGGCATTGATAGCAGAAGGAACAAGTGGATCTGTTAAGAGATAATTAGGCCAGGGAGGAGCAAAGCAGATGAGAGGAGGAGGAGTTCAACCCAGCCTATGGTGCCAAGTTCATGACACTCATGGTAATTTCATACATAAACCTTACAAATGGTTATTTAAAGTATTTGTTCCGAGCAATCTCTTTTCAAGGAAGAATCTGGGTGAGAAGGTTTAACGATGCAAACATAAAGCTTTTCTTTACAATGTGAAATCTCATGACCTTTAATTCTATGAAAACTAGCTAACCTAGCTATGAAAACTAATTCAAAGGTAAATTCATCAAAATTATATATTTTTTTTCTCTGTAGTGTTTCTAGAAAGCCCAGCCAAACATCATAATCCTCAATGTCTTTATTGGGTTCGAAAAAAGCAGCTTTATAGGTTTCACAATTTTAAATAAATGTTTCTTGATCCATAAATACAGTCAATTGTCCCCTCTTATTCTGTAATTACTTTTATATCATATTTTATGGAATGTCTTAAACATGCTGTCTTGAAAATATAAAGTCATCCCTTTAATACAACACTTTGTTGTAGAGGAAACCTCAACTAAATTTTATGCACCTTCTACTAATATCAAATTAGCTTTCCAATAGAAGGTAACCTTGATTGACAGCTTTTTTATCAATGTCTTCTGTGTAAAACACTTATAGTCAAACAGGATAAAGATTGAGCTGTTGGGCCACATCCACAAGAAGACTTTTTGCACGGTGAGGCTTTTAACCTAATAATGTCCCACCAGTAGAGAATGCTGGATTCTTTTTCAACACATGATGTACTGGTCCATGCACAAAGTAGGGGAATGATCAAGATGAAAGATCATCTCATACTGTATCTCAACTTTGGGAACACAATGACATTAAGATTCTAGAATAATCTCATCAATAAAAAAAAAAACCCTGGTTCTGAACCGATGCAACTGGGATGCATACGTCTTTCCAGGGAGGAGAGGGATTGATGCCATTCATGGATTCTGATGCAGATACTGAATTCATGGTTGGGGACTTTGCCAGACAAATAGATATAAAGCTACTTCCTTTGCACAAGGTAATTGTCATGTTCTTGGTGCTGACGGTTTGGTTTTTCATTTACTCCTGCTCACCTTTCTAATTGGTCCAGCAGCTGATTAGCGCTGATCGTTTCCACCTGGTTTTTCAGCTATTTATGTTGTTTGCTTTCCTACCATCAGCGCTAGGTTATTCAAGCAGATTGGTGAGATTAACTCCATCAATCTGAATCTTGTTCTCTTTTCCTGATTGTGATCAGTTTCTGCCCTGTTGATCCCGAGTTTTGCCCCTGTCTGCTCAGCTAGTTTGATCTGTTCTGGACTGATTCCTGGATTCTAATGGCTTTTAAACTTGGACCTGTCTTCTGACTCCGGACAATGGTGCTGCACGGCGTCAGTTGGTGCCGAGTCTGCTCTCTCTCTAGGAACTCTGGGGGGTTGCCTGCCACAAGCTGGGGAGTAGCCTCCCGTTTGGATTCAATTCTTTCCTCTGGGATTGGACTGAACTTTAAATCAGAAATTTGCCCCACAGTTTGCCCCACAAAGCAGCCCCGCTTTTCTGTTTGTTTAAATAAATGCTTTAAACTTTCTCACTGTCTCTCTCACCTCGAATTCTGGGTCCAACATTCTTAGTTCATTACACAAATAGCCTTAAAGGGGCCATCAAATGAATTCATCTTCCCTCATTAAGGAACCAGTTGAATTTGTGGTGGGTGGTAGCCATGTTGAACATTTATCCTTTCTGATTATTGATTCAGGTCAATCAGGTCCCTATTGTTCTTGGTTTAACTTGGTTAATAACAATGTTATTTTCGTCAACGATGATGATGAGGAAATTATTTCGTTGACATTCCTTTTTTTATGATGATGACAAGATCTGACCAGCTAAACAGGGATCTTAGTTGACGAACACTTGAAAGTTATGGGTGTGAGTTTTCACTAACGATACGAGACTAAATAAAAATGTCAGACGGTCAAATGTTTAAAGTGCATCATTGTGCTGTGCGTATTTTTTAGTCAGACAGCCCACCTGGTGTCCACATTCTGCATGATAGCAACAGCGGGGGTGAAAATATCCAAAGCAAATATTTAATTGCTTCATTCCTTGAATTGTCATTAAAACAGTTTCTCTATTTCCTTAAATATTTTAACATTTTAGTTAGAATGTTCATTCAATTTAGGTCTGTATTGCCATGGCACTACAAGGCAATTATTTAGGTCAAGGGTCAGCAACCCAAACTGCTCATAACTGTTCAATGTGTGAAAGGTTTTCCATGCTTGTAACGAAACTAGCAGTTGTAGCAGAGTTTGGAGATGCAATCCACTTCTTAGATCTATCTTTTCTCCCCTGTAATTTATCCAGTAGTTCTGCAATCACACTTTTTCTCTCACTCCCAACTTGGTGGTCGGCTGCAGCATGCCTTCCCTGGAAATGTTTTTCCAAATGATTCTTTATTTTTTTAACCAGTCATTACAAAGCAAAAATGCAGGTAATCCTTCCAC